TTAGTAGCAGCTCATGCAGAAATGCTTGTGGACCTCAGCACACGGAACAAACAACAACAGAAAGCTCTGGTTTTCAACAAATAAATACAAATTCAAATCCTTTGCAAAAAGGTTGAAATAGGTGGAATATTTGACATCACTCACTCTTGACTCTTCATTTTAACGGTGGCAGCCAACCGTTTGCAACCATCTGGTGTAATATGGTTACTCGTGTTTCCAAAATGTTGTAGTTTCACACAACTTGCATACAGTGTAGCTCTTGTCCAGGTCGTAGATCCCCCTTCAACATGATGGAAGTTAAAATACCTCAAAGTGCTTGCTGTCAGTGCAGAGGGTGACCGTTGTTTGTCGCTCAGCCATTTTGTGTGTGTGTGCGTGCGTGGGCACTGCACCTCCACTCATCAGGGTTCTGCCTTTTGCGTTCCTCAACATTATGTTACAGTAGTCCCTCGCTTATCACGGAGGTTACGTCCCAGGCTTTAGAAACCCTGCCCACACTCTTGCAATGTTCTAAACTCTTAAACCTACATCATTTTCACAACATAATATATGTACTGCACAGTAACTACGTACTGAAAACAAAACCACACGGTCGTCCCGATCGAGTTCAAATCTGGATGAAAAAAGTCCCGGTGAGCACCGGAGAAATCACTGAACCTCCAAACGACGCCTCCACGCTCAAGAGGCCTCATGGGCCGGCAAGCAGCGCCCAGATTGACCGATGATGCTGGAAGTAGTTCTGGTCCAATTCCTGGTCGGTTTCCTACGGCTCTCTGCATCCACCGAGTGTCGAAGTCTCTATAAATAAGAACTAAACTTTTTTGGATTGAATTGAAACTTTCCCTCCATTACAGCAGAAAATAACAGCTTTCTTGGGAATTCTGGGTAGTGCGCTGTTGGCTTCTGGGAAATGTAGCCCTTTTGAGTGTTGATACATTGTAGGCTTATTGAGAGCAAATTACAAAATGCCCTCACCTGTCCAAAGTTTTATTTTTTTGTTAACTTTTTAACCGTACATTATCATACTGTCCCAATCATGTGAGTAATATTAAAGTTGACAATCACGTGTCGTGCACAATCTTACTTTGAAAAACCACGGAAGAGCAAGTCCGCAAAAGTCGAACCACGAAGTATTGAGGGACCATTAGATTTTAGACAATTCAGTCGTCCATGTTGGAATCAGGATTCTTCATAAAAAAAATTTAACCACAGCCTCTAGTTGATTTTCTTTAATTAACACTTCAGTTACTAAATGTGTTGTTCATCTTCAACAGCTAAACCACAAAGGAGCTACCAAATCACCAGAACAGAAAAGAAGAAAACACCATCACCAGCAGTCACATCATCAAAACAACTGGTCCGGAAGCTCCAGGTAAATGTGTGGAATGTGAATAAAATATAAAACAAAGAAACTTTGAAGATACATCTTTAAAATACATCTCATTTCATATTTGTTTTCCGGATCCAGGGACAGCAAAGTCAGTGAGAGGCCTGGACTGGGGGCTGAATCTGTTAAAGTAAGTGTTATACCGTGTTTTCTGCCGTACACGTCGCACTGCCCTATAAGTCGCATCAGTTCATATTTATCTAATAAAGTGGAAAATCCATAAATATGTCGCTTCGCCATATATGTCACATCTATTATGCGTCACCGCTGACAACCTGGAAATGTGGCTGGTGTCGTGCCAAAAATCAATTGGCTGCCAAATGGTGGCCGCGGGAGCGTGCATGGAAGGACTTTAACAAGAATTTAACAAGACTAACACCTAAAAACAATTATTTGTTTGCTAGAAATTATAGTAAAGGTGTGTGTCAGTTGAACTATTCCTTAAAAAATGCACTTTAATGGTCAGATCATCTGAATTTCAAAAATGGTTTAGCTACCTCAGTGCTACGAAGCGTGCACGTGCAGATGGACGAGGCGCTGCATTTCTTTAAAATTTAACAAGATGACCACCTAAAAGAATTATCCATCCATCCATTTTCTTCCGCTTATCCGGGGTCGGGTCGTGGGGGTAGCAGCCTAAGTAGGGAGGCCCAGACTTCCCTCTCCCCAGCCACTTGGGCCAGCTCTTCCGGGGGAATCCTGAGGCGTTCCCAGGCCAGCCGAGAAACATAGTCCCTCCAGCTTGTCCTGGGTCTTCCTCTGGGCCTCCTTCCGGTGGGACGTGTCCGGAACACCTCACCAGGGAGGCGTCCAGAAGGCATCCTAAACAGATGCCCAAGCCACCTCAACTGGCTCCTCTCGACGTGGAGAAGCAGCGGCTCTACTCAGAGTCCCTCCCGGATGATCGAGCTTCTCACCCTGTCTCTAAGGGAGAGCCCAGACACCCTGCGGAGAAAACTCATTTTGACCGCTTGTATCCGAGATCTCATTCTTTCGGTCACAACCCAAAGCTCGTGACCATAGATGAGGGTGGGAACGTAGATCGATCGGTAAATTGAGAGCTTCGCCTTTTGACTCAGCTCTCTCTTCACCACGACAGACCTGTACAGCGCCCGCTTCACTGCAGATGCTGCACCTATCCGCCTATCGATCTCACGCTCCATTTTTCCCTCATTCGTGAACAAGACCCCAAGATACTTGAACTCCTCCACTTGGGGTAGGACCTCCTCCCTGACCCGGAGAGGGCACTCTACCCTTTTCCGGCTCAAGACCATGGCCTCGGATTTGGAGGGACTGATCTTCATCCCGGCCGCATCGCATTCGGCTGCGAACCGCTCCAGCGAAAGCTGTAGATCACGATCTGATGAAGCCAATAAGACCACATCATCTGCAAAAAGCAGAGACGCAATCCTAAGGCCACCAAAACGGTCCCCTCAACACCTTGGCTGCGCCTAGAAATTCTGTCCATAAAAGTTGTGAACAGAATCGGTGACAAAGGGCAACCTTGGCGGAGTCCAACTCTCACCGGGAACAAGCCCGACTTACTGCCGGCAATGCGGACCAGGCTCTGACACCGGTCATCCAGGGACCTAACAGCCCGTATCAAAGGGCCCGGTACCCCATACTCCCAGAGTACCCCCCACAGGGCCTCCCGAGGGACGCGGTCGAACACCTTCTCCAAGTCCACAAAGCACATGTAGACTGGTTGGGCAAACTCCCACGCATCCTCCAGGACCCTGCTGAGAGTGTAGAGCTGGTCCAGTGTTCCACGGTCAGGACGAAAACCGCACTGTTCCTCCTGAATCCGAGGTTTGACTATCCGATGGACCCTCCTCTCCAGAACCCCTGAATAGACCTTACCAGGGAGGCTTAAGAGCGTGATTCCCCTGTAGTTGGAACACGCTCTACGGTCCCCCTTTTTGAATAGGGGGACCACCACCCCGGTCTGCCAATCCAGGGGAACTTCCCCCGATGTCCACGCAATATTGCAGAGTCGCGTAAGCCAACACAACCCTACAACATCCAGAGCCTTAAGGAACTCTGGGCGAATCTCATCCACCCCTGGGGCCCTGCCACCGAGGAGCTTTTTAACTACCTCGGTGACCTCAGCACCAGAGATTGGAGGGCCCGACCCAGAGTCCCCAGGCTCCGCTTCCTCAGTGGAAGACGTGCCGGTGGGATTAAGGAGGTCTTCAAAGTATTCCACCCACCGACCCACAACATCCCGAGTTGAGGTCAGCAGCACACCACTCCCACTATAAACAGTGTTGGTGGCGTACCGCTTTCCCCCCCTGAGACGCCGGATGGTGGACCAGAATCGTCTCGAAGCCGTGCGGAAGTCGTTCTCCATGGCCTCTCCGAACTCCTCCCATGCCCGAGTTTTTGCCTCAGCAACCACCCGAGCCGCATGTCGCTTGGACTGCCGGTACCCATCAGCTGCTTCCGGGGTCCCACAGGCCAAAAAGGCCCAATAGTACTCCTCCTTCAGCCTGACAGCATCCCTCACCGATGGTGTCCACCATCGGGTTCGAGGGTTGCCGCCGCGCCAGGCACCGACAACCTTGCGGCCGCAGCTCTGGTAAGCCGCCTCGACAATAGAGGCACGAAACATGGTCCACTCAGACTCAATGTCCCCCACCTCCCTCGGAACATGTTCAAAGTTCTCCCAGAGGTGGGAGTTGAAACTCCGTCTCACAGGAGACTCTGCCAGACGTTCCCAGCAAACCCTCACAATACGTTTGGGTCTGCCAGGTCTGACCGGCATCCTCCCCCACCATCGGAGCCAACTCACCACCAGGTAGTGATCAGTTGACAGCTCTGCCCCTCTCTTCACCCGAGTGTCCAAGACATGTGGCCGCAGATCAGATGAGACGATGACAAAGTCGATCATCGAACTGCCGCCTAGGGTGTCCTGGTGCCAAGAGCGCATATGGACACCCTTATGCTTGAACAAGGTGTTCGTTATTGACAATCCATGACGAGCACAGAAGTCCAACAACAGAACACCACTCTGGTTCAGATCAGGGGGCCGTTCCTCCCAACCACACCCCTCCAGGTCTCACTGTCATTGACCACATGAGCATTGAAGTCCCCCAGCAGAACAAGGGAGT